CTTGAGTCGAGTTTACTTCCCATTGACGATTAGAACAAGGTTATCAGCAAACTTCCTCGCGTGGTAGAAGTTTTGTTTTTTTGGAGTTCGAGTACCCGAGCTAGAGCTTGAAGGCCGAGTACAAGATGCTCTTAATGCTTTCATTCTTTCAATGCTCTTCGTCCAATGGTAGGTTCCTTATTTTCTCCTCCGCCGCCCCTTCTTTTGGTAGCCATTAGTGACTATTTATAGAGGAGAATGGTGTATAATCGTCTCCTATGAATGTGGGAAGTAGGAACAATCACTTCCACATTTTAAGCCTTAGTGGCTGACTTGGTCAAGCAATGCAGGCAGACTTGACGCTGCAGGCAGACTTGCACGTTCAGGCGAGCTTGATGAGTTTGCAGGCGAGCTAGAGCATACATGCGAACCTCGTAGGTGAAGTTAAGTGTTCGGGCAAACTTAACTCTTGTAGGCGAAGTTAAGTATTCAAACGAACTTAACTTCAAACGAGCTATCCTAGCAAAGTTTGATCAATTCAAGAGAACTTGAATCTACATGGTTGATTCAGGTGAAGCCGTGTTATCAGGCAAACTTATCTTTGCCCACGGAGTTAAGTATTCAGACGAACTTGAATTTGCATGGTTAATTCAGGTGAAGCCGTGTTATCTGGTGAACCTGGCTTTATCCGTGGAGTCAAGTATTCAGATGAACTTGAATCTGCATGGTTGATTCAGGAGAAGCCATGTTATCTAGCATACTTGGCTTTGCCCACGGAGTCAAGTATTCAGGTGAACTTGACTTCGTCAGCGGAGTCTTGACTTTGTCAGCAGAGTCAAGTATTCAAGCGCACTTGACTTCATCAGTGGAGTCAAGTATTCTGGAGAACTTGACTTCGTTCATGCGGACTTGAATGTTCACGCGAAGTTTAGTGTTCAGGCAAACTTCGTTCTTTGCGGGTGAACTTCAGGCGATGTTCAACTTTTAGGCGAAGTTTAACTTTCAGGCGAAGTTCGTTCTGCATGGACAAACTTAAATCTTTGCAAGCGAACTTCAGGCGAAGTTTAGCCTCAAAGGCGAACCTTTAAACTTCTTTTGTTAGGGATAAAGACAATTTTATTTGCCTACACCGGACGATATCCATATTGATGTTTGGAAATGTCTTAGAGATATAGGCTTATGATGGTTAACTAAGCTATTTAATAAGATTATCAAGACAAAAAGAATGCCAGATGAGTAGAGGATTAGTATTTGTATACAAATATATAAGAATAAAGGGGATATACAAAGTTGTTTAAATTATCATGGTATAAAACTCATGAGTCATACTATGAAACTTTGGGAGAGGGTAATTGTGCAAAGACTAAGAAAAGAGACATGTATATCTGAAAATCAATTTGGTTTTATGTTTGAGAGGTCAACTATGGAACCTATACATATTTTGAGATGATTGATGGAGAGATATAGAGAGAAGAGAAATGATCTACATATGATTTTCATCGATCTAGAAAAAGCTTGTGATAGAGAACCTAGAGAGGTAATGTGGTGGGTGTTAGAAAAGAAACATGTATCTAGTATATATATTGATGTGATTAAAGATATGTATGATAGAGTAACAACTAGAGTAAGAACTAATGAAGGAGAGACTAAACTGTTTTCTATTACCATAGGTTTACACTAATGGTCAGCTTTAAGTCATTATCTTTTTATATTAGTTATGGACCAATTTACTAAGTACATTCAGAATGAAATCCCATTGTGTATGTTATTTGCTAATGATATAGTATTAATTAATGAAACGAGACATTATTTCTAAAGTAAAAAGATGGAGACTAGCTCTTGAGTCTAAAGATTTTGAAATTAGTAGAACAAAAACATGATATATGAAATGTATTTTTAGTAAAAGTAGAAAAGAAAGAGAGCCTATGGTACATATTGATGGCTAATAAATACCTAAAACTAATCATTTTTGCTATTTAGTATCTATCATTAGGCATGATGGTGAGATAGAGGTTGATGTTGTGCATCGAATCAAATCAAGATGGTTGAAATGGAGGAGTGCTTCGGGAATTTTTGTGATTATAGAATACCAATAAAACTAAAGAAAAATTTCTATAGAACAATTATAAGACTAACTATGCTTTATGGATTAGAATGTTGGGCAATTAAAAAACAACATGCTTAAAAAATGAGTATAACAGAAATGAGAATGTTGTGATGGTCTTGTGAGTATATATTAAAAGATAAGATAAGAAATGAGTGCATCTGTAGTAAATTAGAGGTTGTGCTTATTGAGGATAAAATAAGAGAGAATAGAGTAAGATAGTTTGATCATGTACAAAAGAGACCCTTTAGTGCACTGATTAGGAAAAATGATAATATCAGAGTTAATAGGGCTAGGAGATCTAGATGTGGACCTAGAATGACTTGGTCAGAAGCAATTAAGAAGGATATGATTAAAACTAACATAACGGAGGAAATGACCCGTAACAGAATGGAATAAAAAATAGAATTCATGTAGCCGACCCCAAACATTTGGGATAAAGGCTTCGTTGTTATTTCTTGTTGTAGCTCTTGGTCATCTTGTGAATGAAATCTACACGTATGAATTTAATTTGGTTTAGGCAACTCACCTACAACATCCCTGGGGATTTAAGAACTTGCAAGAACATAGGCGTCTTTCACCTTTATGCTTGTGTTGCTCAAAGCATCCATCAAACCACTTCGTGTGGGATCATCAACTTCCTATTCTAGGCTTGGTAAAGATTTGTCATCCATCATTGTAGAAAAACTGAGATTGTCTTCCTTGAATTTTGCTTGTTTGGATGCAACCTACAATATTTCCACACCTATAGAAACCATACTTGATAGAGTATCAAGTTCTTGGTGATAAATTTTAAGCTGACTGAATATGATCTGCTCATAATCCACAGGCAAGAATCTCGATCGCAACTCTCTCTCTCTCTCTGCCGCCCCCCCCATGCGAACCAAGTACGAATTGCTGGTTTGTGTTAGCGAGTTCGATTAAGTTCGAGTTGATCCCACCATGCTGCAGCTCCACCTTACAACTTGTAGGCCACCAAAGAAACTTGCCTCCTTTCTGAGATAGATTGAAATTGAAAAACTTCTCGATCTTATGAGGCCAATCAAGAAAGTCTCCAATGTTGAGGTTACCCAAAAACAAGGAAGATCTTTAACTCTAGTGCGGTAGTCAGGACCATGTGACTCTTCATCAAAAGCAAAATCTTCTTCAAGCACTCCAAAATCTTCCATATCTGAGTTCTCACCATCTTGATTTTAGCATTGAGCACGAACACTAGCCCTAGCAAGTCGATCACGGGCAACATCCCGAGCACGCACCTCATCATTGACTTTGTTTAGGTTCCCTCTATTTATGGCATTCGTCAAGTTCCTCATCGCCATGATGATTTTGTCAAAATGTCAATCTAGGGTGTTAACTCACTGCACAAGGTCAGGGGAGGGTCATTAACTTCGTTATCGTAGGTGGCCATAGTAGGAAACAACCTGTTTCTGAATACCAATTGATGTAGCAGAAGTGTAATAAGAAAAATAACTACTCGTTCTCGTACGAGCAAAACAATACAAACCCTAGAAATCAACATAGAGTTCATCCCTCTTATATTGAGTGTAAAACAAAGCAAAAGTACTAAAATAATCTTTCCTAAGACAATTAGATTTCTTAAAATAAAAGGACATTCCTAAGACAATTAGACTTCTTAAAATAAAAAGACATTCCTAAGACAATTAGACTTCCTAAAATAAAAAAAGACTACTAAAATAAAAAGACTTCCTAAAATATACAAGGTATGAAACTAAAAGACTTCCTAAAAAAATAAAAAGACTACTAAAATAAAGAGACTTTCCTAAAATAACTAGAAACCAGAATTTTCCTGCGCAGCTGAGCCTAAAAAGACGAATATCTTTGAATTTGAAGCTTATCTGGATCTTATAATCAGTTTTATGTGTAGAGAACTTTCTGAGCTTTCCAAAAACATATTGTAGTAAGTATTCTATGCAGCGAGTCAAAAGATATCGTCCTCCAAAGTTGCATCTTGAAATCTATCCAAAATTACCCGTTTTGCTTCAATTGTCCTATTTTCACATGATCGGATTTCTTCCAAAAAACATCAATTATTACCTCCACATCAGACACTATGAAGAAGAAGCTATGAAGAAGAAGGGAGGGGAAGAGGAGGAGGATAAGGGACGGCACGGTGAGAGCAATATGAACTACATAATTATTATAGTTTGAGCTGCTCTTGGGGGATGCTTGGTTCTGATTCATATATTACCGGGTTTAAAATATATAATTGATTGTACATGTCGTATGCTGAAACTTTCTTATAGAAATGACTCCTTTCATTGTTGCTTGTGGGATTTTTTATGAGGAAAATGATAGGGACACACCCCCAACCACATCCCAAAATCACATCTCCTCTCTCATATGTTACAGTGCACCGGGCCCCACATGAGATTTTAAAATTTTAAAATCCTATGTGGGGCCCGGTACACTGTAGCATATGAGAGAGAGTGTGGTTTGGGACGTGGTTGGTAGTGTACCCCTAGTGCCACCTTTTTTATGATTGACTTTTTCTCTCTCTTTTACCTTGGCACGTATTAGTTGTTTGTTTTTCTATAGAACATGTTACATCAATGCTGGGTTAATTTGAACTTCGATGTAACATGGGCCTCTTGTATAATACACATTAGACCCATTCTATGCCCAATTTACTTGCTTCCGAAATGAATATATCTAACCATGACCACTTCAATTAAATTAAAATTTCCCTGTCCGTTGAATTGTCATTTTCTCTAAGTACCTTCAGGCTTGCAAATATAAACTCGGAGACGGTTGATAAAATATATAATTTATGAATTGATCGACAACATTTGCATATTTTTCTTGGCTAGCTTTGCATAACAAAGAAAATTTATCCGTCCAGATACACAAGACACTATCCTATACCTTGAAGAAAGGGTATTCATATCTCACATTACAATTAATTCCTATTAGCAACTTTCCCTCCTCTCGTCCCATCGGCTAACAAAGCAGCAAGACTCTCCAAGCACTTATCACAATCCTCACTCGAAAGGTCTCTATCTATTACACTGAGCCAATCCTTACAACTTCTCTGTCATCCCAACAACATCCATAACTTCCAAAGCAAAAAACAACGGTGGATGAACCTCCTTCCTCAGAGAACTCATCAGTTGCGTAATCTGCAAGCTCAACGATGCATTCTGAGTATTTGACACGATGAAGCTTTCTTGCTTATCAATTTCATGAAAGAATGCATTCTCTGAGTAGCGATGGAAGCATTCGTCAAACCAGATGGCTGCTGATTTCTTGAAGGGACAGTCCTGACGGACATAGGCAAATGCGTCGGTGATGCACATCCTGCATTATGTGATGTTTACATCAACTCGACAGAGAGCTAGGCCATTGGCTTTGTCAGCGTCATGACCGATTGAGCAGGAGGGCAATGAAAAGGATTTAGGTATCATGAAAATCAAGTCCGCACACGAAGTTTATTTCAAAATAAAGGATACCATTACTGTTGGGTGATCCTTAATTTAGTTGTTTATGCCAGTTTCAGATGTCTAGCATGGAACAATTTGATACCCTTAAACTTGAAATATAATGCTACACTATAACAAACATCATTACGAGTCTTTTATTTTCATATATGTAAGTGATGAATTACAAAATATACTTATATTAGAACAATATTTTAACACACTAATTAAGCATTAATTGTAGAACGGGTACAATTCATATCTCACATTACAACTCCCGCCAACAACTCTTGCGCCTCTTTTCCCCCCACAACAACTAGGCAGTTCTCCAACAGCACTCTCCAAACACTTCTCACAACTTTCACTCGAAAGATCTCTCGTGCACTGAGCCAATCCATACAGCATCTCTGACTGTCCAATCCTCATCGTTGCAGTCCCAAAAAACAGCGGCGATCGACTAACATCCCCCTTCAGAGAACCCATCAGCTGCATGACCTGTGTATTGAACTCTGACTGCAACCAAGACACGTTCCCGGTGTTCACGAGGATAAATTGATCCCTGTCATCCACTTGCCCGAAGAATTCAGTGTCTGAGTAACGAAGAAGGCATTCGTCGAACAAAATGATGCCCTGCCTTTTGTAGGGACAGAGTTGAAGGATCTGTGTGCTTGCATTACGGATACAGGATTTGCATGTGGTTCTGTTGACATCCCCTCGACAAAGAGCGAGTCCGTTTATTTTGTAGGGGCTTTGATCAATCGAGCTGAGGCTGTAGCCAGTGCAGGGAGAGCCTGAAATGAGTTGAAACATGAGTTGGTTCAAGTTTTTAGCGAAGGGATCATCGTTAGAAGTGTGGTTGTTGGAGTTTGAGCATGATGAGAAGAGAGGATCAATGGCTGATGCATTGTGAACAAGAAGAAGAAGAAGGGAGACAATGGAGAAAAGGGATAGTTGAACATTGAAGGAGTGCATAATGCAAAATGAGAAGAATTAATGGAGAGTTTAATCATTGCGCATTTGCTTATATAGTTTGATTTATAGGCAGATACAAGTTTAAATTTGGTGCGGGTGAAATATTTGTCTGAATTTGTCGTGGCTAGTGGAATTTTCTCCGTAGAACTAGCAAAAACATAGTTCTAGAATGCTGACCTCGTTGATTTCTTTTCACCTAGCTCTGAGAAAAGTCATGAGGAACAATTCTTGCAAGTATGTAGGCCATAGCTAGTACAGTATTTCATCGAGAACATTCTGACTTTGCGATTTGAACCCATTGACAGAGTGACATATGTTAGGTTATGTGGAGCCTAAATTTTCAGACCCGGCTCAAATTCGCTTAGATTATCGAATTGTCAGAGCTCCAATTGCGCTTAAGGGTATACATGTAATTTTAAGTCGCACTAATACCCTAGCTATAAAAGGATGATTATGACACAACTTGTAAACTATTCAGAACATAGTGAAATTTTATTTGCGGCGGCCGTGGACATAGCTTCTCTCATCGAGAAGTGAACCACGTAAATTATGTGTGTTCTGTGATTTGTTTTTCCTCTCTTCTCCTCTCTCATCTTTATTTCCAAATCACAACAGGGGTTAGAAAAACTCTAACAAGTGGTATCAGAGCGACCAGGTTTGACGCAGGCGATTTGAAGTTAGATATAGGATCCGAGAAGGAGACATCGAAGATCGAGAAGTTTGATGGGACAAACTTCGGATACTGGAAGATGCAGATGGAGAACTACCTCTATCAGAAGGATCTGTATTTGTCGTTGGGAGAGAAGCCGGAGGATATGAAGGATGTAGAGTGGAAGTTGTTAGATCAGAAGGCCCTTGGAGCAATCAGGTTGACCTTGTCCAGATCTGTAGCCTTCAACATCAAGAATCAGAACTCGACGGCGGATCTCATGGCTGCTTTATCCAGTATATATGAACAACCCTCTGCAGCGAATAAGGTACATCTCATAAAGAAGTTATTTAATTTGAGGATGTCCGAGAATCAAAAGGTACATCTCATAAAGAAGTTATTTAATTTGAGGATGTCCGAGAATCAAAAATTCAAAGATCACTTGAACGAGTTTAATGAGAGTTATTTAATTTGAGGATGTCCGAGAATCAAAAATTCAAAGATCACTTGAACGAGTTTAATGAGATCACAGATCAGTTAAACTCCGTTAACATTAAATTCGATGATAAAATTCAAGCCCTCTTAATACTTGGTCAGTTGCCTGATAGTTGGAAGGGCACCATTATTTCGATTAGTGGATCTTTTGAAAAATTGAAACTGAAGTTTTTAGAGGTTGTTGACATGGTTATGACCGAGGAGATTAGAAGGCATGAAGAAGGAGTTTCTAGTTCATGGTCGGCACTGAATGTTGAGAGCAGAGGCAAAAATAGAAACAAGAATAGAGGGAATAGTCGTGGGAGACCTAATTCGAGGAACGGCAAGTCAAAGTCTAGAAATCGTAGAAGCAAGAAAGAGATTGATTGTTGGAACTGTGATAAGTATGGAACTATGAGAATCAGTGCATAGAACCCAAGAAAGATAAGGAGAGCAAGACTGAAGCGAACGTGGCCTCAGGAAAATCAGATGATGCCCTCATCTACTCGTTGGAGAGCAAAACATAATCGTGGCGCTAGATTCGGGAGCATTGTTTCATGCTGCCTCAAATAGAAATCTATTTGAGGACAATATTTCAGGAAATCTAGGAAAAGTCTACCTTGGTGATGATCAGACGTGTGATGTAATCGGAAAGGGAGTGGTGCAGATCAACCTCAAGGGGTCTGAATGGAAGTTGAATGATGTGAGACATGTTCCAAGCTTGAGGAAGAATCTGATCTCCATAGGACAACTAGCAAAAGAGGGATATGTACCAACCTTCGCATGTAATACGTGGAAGGTTACCAAGGGGTCTATGATTGTTGCTCGTGGCACGAAGAGTGGGTCTCTTTATATGACGACAGATGCATGTGGATCCATTGTAGTGGTTGAGAGCAAAGAAGATCCAAATTTATGGAACCAAAGGCTTAGTCACATGAGCAGCAAAGAGCTGAAGGTTATGCAGTCAAATGAGAAGTTACCAAGTATGAGGTCAACTGGTCTTGACTTATGTGAGAGCTGCATCTTTGGGAAACAGAAGAGAATAAGCTTCAAAAGAGTTGGCAGAACTTTGAAGGAAGAGATGCTTGAGCTAGTTCACACAGATGTGTGGGGTCCAACATCAGTCCAGTCTACTGGTGGAAGGTTATATTTTATGACCTTCATAGATGATCACTTGAGGAAGACTTGGGTCTATTTCATAAAACACAATCAGAAATGTTCAAAGTCTTCAAAAGGTAGAAGGCTATGGTAGAAAATGAAACAGGTTTGAAGATCAAGACGCTTCGATCAGATAATGACGGTGAATATGAAGATTCAGAGTTCAAGAAATTCTGTTATGATAGTGGATCAGATTGGAGAGGACAGTGTCAGGTACTCCACAGCAGAATAGCATAGCTAAAAGGATGAATAGGACACTGACTGAGAGAGCCAGAAGCATGCGTCTACAAGCAGCTAATACCCTAGCTATAAAAGGGTGATCATGACGCAGCTTGTAAACTATTCAGAACATAGTGAAATTTGACCTGCGGCGAACGTGGACGTAGCTTCTCTCATTGAGAAGTGAACTAAATTATGTGTGTTCTGTGATTTGTTTTTCCTCTCTTCCCTCTCTCATCTCTATTTCCAAATCGTAACAGGGGTTAGAAAAATCCTAACAACAGTTATCCGGGGAAGATGAGGTTTTAGTAATACATAAATTTGGACTAGCATTCAAGATAAGCACAATATATATTATTAGGTTTAACCACAATTCGATATCATTATAGGTTTAATCACACATTGGATGTCAAATAAAACCTACATTTTGTTTTTATGTATTCTTAGTGTCAATTGAGGATAGATCCTCCATTGCGTCATTGTTAATTTTGAACTTACTACCTCTCTAGTTTTCTTTTTGCAGATAGACCCCTGAGTAAAAGTTTTTGGTATTTGTACCTTCATGGGGTATATTTTTTTTAAGGCAAAAGAGGATATGCATTTTTACTCGGGAGGTCTATCAGCAAAAAATAAAACTAGAAGAGCAGTAAGTATGCCAATAATACAAGGGTATATACAATTAAACCTAATGTTTATTGTTGAAGAATTACAGAGAATCAGAAAAAAATCAGCAGAGAGTTGGGCGGTTGACCGGCGCGGTCGACCGCAAACAAGCACCAAACCGACTGGGAATCGGAGTGTGTGGCGGTCGACCGGCGCGGTCGACCGCGGATGACTGTAGGATTTTCTGTTCTCGGGTTTGATGATTCGGTCGACCGGTGCGGTCGACCGCGAGACCCCAATTGTGTGAGAGCTTTGAGAGATCAAGTGCTTTGTTTTAGGGTTTGGTCTGAGAGATTTGTAACCCTATTTGTATTCCCTTGATTTCTAGTAGTAAAATCTCCCCCCTCCTTGCCCCGTGGACGTAGGCAAATTGTCGAACCACGTAAATTGTGTGTTCTTGCTGTGCTTGTGGTTTGCATATTGTTTGTGTTTTAATTCGAGTTATTGTATGTGTTGCCCGAGAAAGCTTCCGCCACGCACAACAATTGGTATCAGAGCTAGATCGACAACATGGGAGATGCAAGCACGTCAGGTTCGTCTCTAACAAAGGCGATACAGAGTCTGAGCATCAATAACACGAAGATTGATGTTCCGAAGTTCGCCGGCAAGATCAATTTTGGATTGTGGAGGTGTCAGGTGATGGATGCTTTGGATGCACAGAATTTGGAGGAGACTCTTGAGTTAAAAGAGAAACCCGCTGAGTTGGAGGATAAGGTTTGGAGAAAGATGAACAGTAGAGCTTGTGGTGTTATTAGGTCATGCTTGACGCCAGATCTTATTTATGATATCATAAACGAGACGTCGGCGAAGAAGATGTGGGAAACACTTAATGAGAAATATCTTACGAAGAGCATTGAGAATCGGCTTCACTTGAAGAAGAGATTTTACCAGTTCAAGATGAAGAGAGGGGTTTCCATCAGGGAGCATGTCAACAACTTCACTAAGCTACTTTCAGATATGGCCAATGTGGATATTATAGTTGAGGATGAAGACAAGGTGATGCTACTTCTGTGTTCGTTTCCCGAAGATGATTATGGTACTTTCGTTCTCACTATGATCAATGGAAGAACTATAGTTAGCTACAAGGAGGTGACCTCAGCTTTGGTGAACTATGAGTTGAGGAAGAGTGATGGTGAACCCTCCGAGAAGGCATCGGGAGATGCGTTAGCAGTTCGAGGCCGAGACCCAAACCGTCGTTAGTTCAACCGCTCAAAGTCAAAGAATAGGAGTGCCTATAAGAGTGTTGGTAGAAATCAATGTCGGTATTGTAAAGAAGAAGGACATTGGAAGATTGACTGCCCAAAGTGGAAAGAAAAAGCCGGAAAGAATAAGGGGAAAGCTGCACAAGCTTCAGAAGTGAATGTTGCAAAAGCTATTGGTGAGCATTCAGATTCAGATTCTTCAGGCTATTCATGCCCTGCTTTACCGTCGGTTTGCTATGCGGATTCCACGGAGTGGATGATGGATTCGGGAGCTACATATCACATCTGCCCTAAGAGGGAGTGGTTTTCTAGCTTTGAGGAGCTGGAAAGAGGGGATGTCGTGCTTATGGGTAATGACCACGTATGTCCAATTGGTGGTATTGGTTCAGTCCGGATCAGGATGCATGATGGTGTAGTGAGGGAATTAAAGGAAGTGAGATTCGTGCCACAGTTGATGAAGAACATCATTTCTCTTGGGACTTTGGAGGCAGCAGGATATCGAGTAATCTTAGAGGATGCTACAGTGAAGGTCATGAAGGGTTCTATGGTGGTGATGCTAGGTGTCAGGGAAAACAACCTATACTACTTGAAGGGCAAGACAGTTACAGGGAGTCTGGCAGCTTCTATCACTACAG